TTGAGATATAGCCTTTAAATATTTTTAAATTATCCACAATGTGACTCCTACTGACACGAAAGTTTTAGTTTTTTCGCCCATCCCCTTATGGTCCCCAAATAAATAATCCTAAAGACACCACTGATTATTATCTTCGTTTGTAATTAATCAATACAGACCTAAAATTGGCATTAAATACATTAGCCTAAATATTTCTGCCAGAACTAAAACTATTTCAAAACAAGTTAGCCTTAACATTCAGGAACAAATTTAAACAACTATTAGTACGTTCTACATAGAAAAAAAAAGAAGCAAAAACATGATGAGTTTGTTATTGCTGCAAAGCCGGTTTTGATGCATATACTTGCGGAATTAAAAATGCCTCAGCTGCGCCGATAGGAAGTCACATTTATTAGATGAAAAAGGTGGTCAAGCAGACTCGTGGGGATATATTACAATAACACACTAATTGGACACTCTGCGGCAGTATGGGAAATAATATATTTACTGAGCATTACGTCAGTAACCACGGTGTGGCAAAAAAAAGAAAAAGACTGTTCTTTTAACATTAAGATGCTATCTAGACGTTCTTATAGAAAATACACATAAATTCTACAGATACAAGAAAGGCACCCAAAGATAAATAAAAAAGTAATAATATTTCTCTCCTTATATCCCGTGTATACTTATAAGTATATGTATGTTTCCTACTCTTCTATATTTTAATAAATATTTGCTCAAGTTTATTTTAAGTTTTTATTAAATTGTAAACATAGACAGTATTTTAATCAAAATATATTACTGTTTTACTAGCTGGAGTACCCGTCCCCTGGACGGAAGTTATGCAAATTCATGATTAATGAATGGTTGTCTTAGGACATGAAAAGTTGCTTCCCTTATATGTAATTGAAAAAAAAAAGCAAAAATGCCCATAAAAACTGCAAGAACAAAATATGTGAAACCGCAAATTTGCATGGATCTCTGCATGGATCCAACATACCTTCATGCCAAATTTGGTGAAGATCCATCAACAGGGGGCGAAGTAGTAATAAAGAAGGTAAAAACGGTAATAAAAAACGCAAAATGCAAAACTGAAAATTTGTGTATACCTCCGCATGGACCTAACGAACCTCCAAACCAATTTGGGTGAAGATCCATCAACACCCTGAGAAGTAGTAACATGGACAGACAACAGACAGTACTATTATATTTATATACATATCATATTGTTGTTGTAAGCCACAATTTTAATTATGGAATTTGTTTGTTCGCTATAGGAAGCTGCGGGTCATAACGATGACGTTTCAGATGGAAAGGTTTGTTTTGAATTTCGCGCAAAGCTACTCGAAGACAATCTGTGCTAGCCGTCCCTAATTTAGCAATAATAGACCAGAGAGAATACAACTAGTCAACATCACTCACCCCCAACTCTTAGGTTACTCTTTTACTAATGAATAGTAGGATTGACCGTCACTGCTGAAAGGGTGGGCATGTTCGGTGACAGAGATTTGAACTCTGGATGGACTTGGACTAATTTCAAGAGAGGAGGTCGAAAATGAGTTAAGCTCTTATTTTGGGTCAAAACATAAGGAATTGTGAGTCTAGTGTCCTAACCATTAGGCTATGCCCGACCCAAATCGAAAAGTTTGATAATATAGGCTTAGAAATTTCTAAACATTTGACATCAAGTTTTCTAGTAAATTCGAAAGTAGATTATAAATATGAAAATAGATGGAGATGTTCCTGACCGATAAAGTTACTTCTTCCTTCAACGTTTCTACGAACTTAAACACTATGGTGAGTTGTAGGCCACGTTTACAACCACATTAAATGTACTAAACTGACGTAAAAAAAGGAAACTTACTTGTACAAAGTAACTCAGAATGCGCGATATCTAAAACAGATCGAAATACTCCACCAGATGATTTAAAAGAACCTGCTAACAGTATTGTTATTTCAAACCGGTCTGTGACGCAACAACAGTTTTGTTCCATCTAATGTTGTATGGTTTAAACCTTAATGAAATTCCCTGATGAAGTTGTAGAAAAGAACCAAACATAGGAAATAAAATAATTTCTGGTGTGTGTGGTCATTTTTGTTTATATTTCATCGAAAACAGTTCAGACAGTTCCCCACACGAGATTGTAAGGTAACAGAAAATTGTTGTTGCTGTACATGTTATGTTACTAATAATTGTAATGTAATATGTAAAGGGAGTTAAAGGAATTCTTATAGGAAGGATCAATATATTTTGTTTGTTGTTAAGCACAAAACTAGACAATATGCTACCAGACTCTGCCCACCACGAGTATTGAAACCCAATTTTTAGCGTTATAACACTCAGACTTACCGCTGAGCCACTAAGGGGAAGAGGTGGGTGAGAGTAATAAAGCAATAGCTACCTAGAATGGAAAGAGATGGAACTAATATCGCGTGTGGAAGAACCAACGGACTGTGGTGCCATCCTGGAATGGAAAGAGATGGAACTAATATCGCGTGTGGAAGAACCAACGGACTGTGGTGCCAGGATGGTGGTTGTTACAAAAGCAAATTGTAAAATTTGAATTTGTGTGGACCTGACAAAAGCAACTGTTACCATCAGTGGAACACACACTGGGACAATCAGAAGGTACCAGATTATCACTGAAAGCAAATCAGGCTCCAGTTTTAACAGTTCTGAAATAACTACTCTGAAGTGAATAAATGCTTACTTGATGCAGGAATTCTGATCTGCACATTTTCTTAAATTCTCCGATAAAAGATCATAACATTAATTAACATAGTGTAATATTTGGAAAAATGGAAATAATTAGATCACAACAATCCATTTGTATTACATTTTACCAGAACAACATTCTGAAGTTTTACTTTGTACAGAGAATAAAATATTTTAGTTATCTCAAAATAACCTACGCGTTAACTTTTTCCTAAATTAAACCTCATGGAATGAACAATTAATTTAAGTCTCCCAGTGGGTCAGCGGTAAAATTAAAGGTTCGATTCCCTGGAGAGAACAGAATGTGAATTGCCCATTGTGTAGCTTTGCTCTACAACATTAATTTTTCAGATGTAAAATCAATTTTCTAAAGTTGTATTAATTGGCGTAAACACTAATTTACTAAATAACTGAATAAACTCATTTTTCATGTATTAATAACACCACAAATTTTGTCAAAACAAAGAAAACGATAAACCCATTCTAATTTTGGATTTTTCCACATTTACTAAGTTAAACCTTTTTCTTGGAATCAACTACGTAACTATAAATTAGGGTTAACCTATCTCTTCTGGAGGTGTTGAATGGCCTGGTGGTTAAGACGCCAGACTCTTTGATGATTACGGGTTCGAATCGCCCTCATCAAACATGCTCGCTCTTCCATCCGTGGAGGCGTAATAATGTGACCAGAAAACTCACTATTCGTTGGTAAATAAGTAGCCCAAGAGTTGGTGGTGGTGCCTCTCTATAGTTTCTCACTGCTAAATTAGGAATAACTAGCGCACATTACTCTCGAAATTTGCGCGAAATTCAAATCAAATCAAACTATCTCTCTTGAGTATTCGATATTAACACTATTACTTTTACAATCTAAATTCCGTTCTTAAATTTCACTATCATTCTCAGTTAAGTTGGTGTTATTCTTTCTATGGGGTTTTGAATCTTTTTTAATTCACCATACAGAAACCTAAATTAATTTAAGTACGTGAACAATGTTATGACATTTCGCCTAATTCATTATTCGATATTGTACAGCGGACCAGCTGTTTAATGATTATATGGCCGTACCCTCTGCTGTGTACTGCAGTTTCGCCTATTCAAGGTTCGTTAGCAAACCAAAAAAATACACTTTACCATTATAAACGGCCTATGCTGATGAGCCTTGAATAGGCTAAACTGCTGTCCACAGCAGAGGGTACTGCTAATGAAGGAATGCGTAAGATATATAAGTCACAGATTCTCCTTTTGAAACTTTGTACTGTCAGTTCGGTTTGTGTTTTAGTTAACGCTCCTGAAGAAGCTGTAAAGCAAAATATTGAGTGTTTAACTAAACAAAAACAACATTTTGGTGTTATAAGGTCGTTTATTTCTAGTATTAATATGTCTTCTATACACCAATATGCACTACAGAAATTAAATAGTTATTCTTGATTTCAATGAAACCCTTGGCGCTTAGGTTTTTAAATCAAAGAAATTCAACAATGATACCGAAATGCTAATTTTGGAACACATAATTAATAGAACAATGCCCCGAAGAAGCCCCAAAGGAGATATGTCGGTTAAGATAAAAGTTATTTAATAATTATCTAAATGTAAATGTCGTGTTTTCTAATATTAATAAATTAACAGTTTATTGCAACTTGTAATTACATTATGAATTATTCTACGTCGTATATCTCGCAGTAGGCGTACCATATTGCCTGTGTAACTTTCATTGTCGTTCTAACATATACAAACTCAACCAATTACAATTTTTAAAGCCAAATCAAAAGCGGCTTTTTTATCCTAATCTTTCACAAAAATAAAAAGACCAAATGATTGTCGTTTTAACGTTAATTAGTACCTATTATCAAAAGTGCACAAAAATAATATGCTCTTTTTCATACTGCGATAAATAATTTAGAACTGTCCAAATCGATGTGATTTCAATTTCCAAACATCATATTTCTGTGTATTACATTTTAGGTTATTAGTGATTAGTAAAGAACTTAACCCCAGAAGGGGAAATGTTTTTACTTGTTTACCAATGCAGTTAGACAACACAACAATAACTAATTTTTCAAAAGTTCAAGATGAAGTAAATATAAAATTATACGTAAAATGTATGATACTTCGTTTATATTTCAGTGGGGTATAACTTAGTTAAAATTAATAAATTACACAGATAAGAAGTGAGCGAAAAAAAAATATGATTAGGCATCCAAAGTAACCCATTTTAACGCATAGATTGTCCTCTAGCGGAGTTTGATATTTGTTAACTTGTAAAATGTGTACGCCATTTTCATTTTCACATCAGGGTTAGAAACTCGGTACGATTAATTACTAAGAAAAGGACATACATATTAGCGGGTTCGAATCCAAGGAGGGTTAAGCCTAACATTTCTCTTGTTTTACCAAATATTTTCATTTTTCATAATCAGTTTAAAAGCAACTGCTTGAAGTATAACATAAAGAGTCGTAAGTATGAAATTATTTTAATACTGATAATTATACTAAAATTTATTGGTTAAATTGTGATTGTCAAGGGGTAAGACTTGCTGTGTTATTCGTTACGATAGTACTAGTAGTCTGGAGTAGACTGTAGTGTAGGCTTTTTACACAAACATGTACAGGTCTTGCTTTCCGAAAACTTTAAGTGAGCGTTAGACTCTTGACTAAGCCTTAAGTTAGGCTTAAGTAGTTGAGACGTTATGGCACTGTTTACACTATTAGTATTACTATTACACTTTTTTTACAGTGATATTGATGCTAAAAATATTATAGTTTATAAATTTTAGCAACACTGATAGTATTTGTTAGTGTAACATTATCTAACAAGTAACACGTAAACACTTATAAAAAAAAGTATAATACTTAATAGTTTGTGATTTTCGTGGTTAACTGTGACTGTGAGTGCGAGTTAGTACTAATAGTTCCTGTGAGTGTGGGTATACGTAAACCGTAACTAAATGCTTGAAACGTTAAATTTGTGCAATATTAATCAAGGTAGGAAGTGAAAAAATATGCAAATATATAAATTATAATGGTGGGATAATTATTACTAAGATTTTAAAAACTCAAAACTATGTCAAAAATCCACATTTTTTCCATATGTTAGACGAAATGTTGGAAATGAAAGTGACCCAGTGTCTTTCAAAGTTTCAGTTTCTCTTGTTATAACTAAGTAATAATCTTGTATTAAAGTTTGAACCTCAAACTTTTTAATTTTACTCAGACTATAGGGCAATGCTAGGAAGTAGTAGCTCTATTCAGTCATATAGTTCAGACTGTGATAGTGTTAGTGAAGCATAATATGATAGCTGTAAAGTGTAAATATGTATAAATGAAAGTGTATTGTTACTTTACAAGTACAACACAATTTGAGGGTTTTTTCTTGAAAAGTTCCCCTGAACATGTAATTTAAGTTATAACAACTTTTATTCCTTATAATAGATATGAAAACAGTACAACCTCAGTCCAGTGAAATGCACCTATGGACTTAGCTTCAGCTTTCATGATCAGTGTGCAATTAGATGCTCAAGGTAAATATTAGAAATAGTGAGAGTGAATTTTGCATTACGTTCCACTGATTTAGTTTTTTGACTGTTAAATATTATAATTTATTGCAGCATTATTGCACTTTTAATTTCATATTTCTATCTCAGAATTAACAATTTTCGAAACGTAAAACTTGATTTATCAGAAGATTTCATATAATTTTAACAAACTGTTAGTAGAGCATCTAAGTTTATAGTGCAGCTACATAGAACTAAACTTTTCTCAGGTATTAAGCGGATTAATTTCTAAACATTTTATGATTCTTACTGGTCTTGTATAAAATTTTCGTGTAAGTATGCAAAATGATCTTTTCAGATTAGTCTTTAAGGATTTAACAAAATAAGGCTACATAATATATTAAAAAAATAAAACTATTTTAATTAACTTAAGGTTTTATTTCTGATTGATTCACACTGAATTTTAACTAACTTTTTGGAATTTTGATTAATGCTCTTACTCGTACACAAATCAATCATATAGCTTGATAACTTTTTTTTTTCTCAATCTGATCAGTGGTAATTTTTACTCTCCTGAATAATCCTGATTTATTCTAAGTTCACATCAATTAAAATATTGTCTCATTCAGCCTTTTTAGGTACTCACTCTACCTATCTAAACAACCATTTAGTACAAATAACATAAGCTAAATCTAACCCTTTAAATCCTCATCCCTGTGCATCAAATATTTTGACATACACATTTACCATCTTCATCACATCATCAGGTAAACTATTCCAGAAGTTTATAATAGAGAAATAATTCTGCAGAGTAGCAAGTTTAGGACTAGGTACCAAAATAATATGTGTGTGTGTTTTATTGAAGATCCTACTTCTTTTTCATTTATCAGATCAGACATATGAACATTTTATTCCAAAACATTAACAATTTTTGATGATTTTTTAGTCTAGTTTTATAAGTCTCTTAGCACAGTTATAATTCAAAGAGCCCATCTTGAGACTGTATCCATTATTTTATTTTCAGAAATTTTTGTAAATGGCTTAGTAAACTTTATTAACACTTTTTTTTGTTATAGTTAAACTAAAATAATGGCATAAATCAGTTACCTACAATCTCACTTAAAATTCACTTTCTTTAACACATTATTCTGTCTAATAAACAAGTTTTTCTTGATTTCATATTATAATACTTTACTGAGCACCTTTTTTGAAAGTCATTTTCCATATTCTGCTCAATTCTAAGATGGCTCTTTTTTTTTTCTGAGTTAAAGAAATAGTATTCACAACTTTACCAGGAATTTTATCACCATTACCAACCTATTACATTTGTTAACATAAATATTGACCAACAAAGTCCTTGTAACAAAACCTCTTGAGGGCCCAACTTTAATTTAAAAAATGCTTATTTCTTATCACTTGAACTTTTTCACTTAAATAGTTTTTTTTTTTTTGAAGACTTAATCCAGTTATTAACTTTTGGTATGCATCTTATTAATTACTCAGGGAAAGTAAAGATAAGAAATTACTGAGATGACCTCTTTCATAAAAGCAGTCGCCCCTAAAAAATCAGCAGCAAGTTAGAAAAAACACACTAAAACCTAAATTAGTAAAGTAATTAAATAGATGCACCATTTGTTTAATAATATTTGTTATTAGATATCAGAGTAGTTGCTTCTGTTGAATAAATAAAAAAGAAACTGTAAGATGACTGAGAAAAGACTTTCTCTACTTTAGAATTTGTAGAAACAAGCAAAATATAAAAAATAAATGAATAGATAATAATACAAAACAAACACACTTAAAGATCTTTGAGAACATCTGTTCTCAAGTATCAAAAATAAGTTTGATATCTATAATTGTTAACATTTCATATGATTCTTGATACTAAAAACAAGATCTTAAACAGCATTTCCATGAAACAGTCAGACTTTTAATAGTTAATTACAAATAACATGTATTACAGAACAGTTTGTTAAAAACATGTTAAAAAACCGTTTACAGAATAACAATAGCAATATTAATACAAGGTATACTAGGTTACGTGCTGGTTTTATACATTTCCTCAGGTGCTTATTTAAACTGAGAAAGTTTTAATATTGCAATAATTTATGGAGTTTTTCTTTCTTTTGAATCAGTTGTTTTTTATTTGTAATTTGTATGGACCATTAATTTTAAAACTGTTGAACTGATGTTTATTATATCAAAACAAGCTTGAGTACTAGTATGCTAAATTTGTCATATTCTAAACAGATCTGCATTTTTTCTTTGTTTGTTGTGTCCCTGTTTGTTTTTTTGCATATTCATAATTTCAGCATACATATCTTAATATGTTGGATAGTAATTATTGTTAAAAATTACCATAAATATAGATGAATTAGGAGAAATAGATTTATCATATTCTGTTCCACAGGTTGAAACTGATACAGCTATACCATGGACGATCCAGAAGAAGACAGTTTACAAAACTCAACTTTGTCAATTCCAAGTACTTCATGTCATCAAGGAGTGGTGGTAGTTTTTGCTCAGCCTGATGAAAGTTCTGATTGTGAATGCTCAAAAGAAGAAAATGAGAACACAAATAATGCAGAAACTTTAATGCAGAATTCATATAATCTGAGAGACAGAGACTCTGAGGAAGAAGTTTCAGTACAGTTTGTATTAGACAAAGAAGAAGAAAGTGTTAGTAAAGAAAGCCCTTCTATGGAGCCTAAACCAAAAAAAAAACTTTCAAAAAAGGTTCCAAAGGCAACATACTTGAAAGATGATACCTTATCATTTGCAATTTGTGGAAAGAATGTTATTCCATTAAAATTAAGGCAAGTTTTACAATACTCTAACAAAATAGTATTCTTATATAAATCTTTTGTAATACCACATCAACAATCTGAAATCCAGCCAATTTCTTCCATAACTATTACACTAAAACATATAGATATATATATTAAAAGCTGTTTTAACTTTCCCAAAACGTTTGCTCTTTTATTAGCATTTATACTATTTTTGTCTTTCCATTCTAAACTATTTCGTATGTTAGGGGACAAATTATTTTTCACTAGGTTTCTACATGATCAAATTATATGAATTGTTTTTCCTTGCAATCTTGGAAAGATAAAACCCTGCTTTTTGAATTTTTCTTTTGAATTCCAAATTAATTAAATTTTTTTTTATAAAATTTGTAATAAAAATAAATTACTACATTAGTTGTACTGACTCCTTATGTTAGGATCTTAGATCACATCATTTTGTCTCTATTAACTTAGAGTTTCAAGAATTTTTGGAATGGCTGATGAATATGCTATTGTATCTTCTGAATTATGCATCTAAGATAAATCAATAACTAGACTATATTTCATTCATAACACACCAATAAAAGTGAAATTGCAAGATTCAACTTCTTTTTTTACATCTTACTATAATGGGCATAGCATGTATGTCATTATGTATGTAACCAAAACTCCTGCGCCATCTATTGTATGCCACCACAAACAAGAAAAATCCATAAAAAATTTCATCCTTGGGGTATTCAAGATTCAGACAACTAGAAAAGTAACTGTGGTATGTGCAACAACCATTTCTTTATAATAGAACACAATTTTAAATAAAAGTACTCTCTTCACAACAAGAACGTGACTTTCATTAGGACTGCACGTGAGGATTTGATTATATTGTTATTGATGTAATTTCTAAATGTGGTACTGAGAAATTGGAGTTCTTAAAAATACTATTATTTTTTCAATAAATGGTACCACTTGTAATATATAAAAACATTACAGTTTATGTCGGTAAAATTTACGTAAATTTTAAGCTCTGTCTGTACCTTGAATCATTTTGATGCAATGAGTTGTGTATAACTCAAGAGCACAGTCCGAACACTTTTCACTTGCAGCACTTCCCAGAAAAAAAAATCCTTTTTTAGAAAATGTTAAATTTTTTTCAATAAAGTATAAATACTACAATTAGTAATTACTAGAACAAACCATTGCCCGTAGGGTGGCATTGCTGCTATTATATAAAATTTAACATCTTAAATACGGTATTACACTTCCAAAAATTAAATGTAGCCCTTATTATGTTAATGTTGTTACTTAGCTGTACTTACTTCAAATGAGAATTTCATAATTTTCAAAGTCATTGAGTCATTTTGGTAAGATATAGTTAAGTAATTTTATAAACTTTAAAACTGAGTTGAAGTAAAATATCAGAGGTACCTTTGTTGTAAATAATGTAATAAATTTCTTCTTGTTTATTTTACCAGAGAAACAGTGAAACCTAGAAGAATTTCTGCAAAATTAAGAGAGAAGTGGATTTTAATGACTAAGATAAAGAAACAAATTCCTTGTCCTGTTACCAGCTGTGAGAGAACATTCTCAAATATTAATGGAATTATCAACCATTATCAGTGGTGTATTGGAGTAAGTCCACATAGTTCATTACGTTCTTCTCTGTTTTATGATGGTGTTACAAATGTTACTGTATTTGTTGTATCATATACATAAACACCAGTGTCTGTATGTGTGAAACATAACTTAATATTGTTACAAACCAACAGATGGCGCTATTATATTTACTGTTTTTTTTTATTTTGGTATTTTTCACCTTCAGTAACAGATTTTTAAAAACTTGCGAAAAAATTGTATGAGAATTTTTATTGAAAAGTTATACCTTTATGGACTTGCCCTTGAACTAAATCTTTGCCATTGTCATCACAATAAAGTGCAGGGTCAGACATTTGATCATGTAGGAATATTTCTTCCAGAACTAATCTTTTCATATGGTCAACTCAGTACAGCTTTATCAAGAAGCAGATTCGAATATAACATCAACACAAACATCAAAATTATCATAAATCCAAATTCTAATCAAGGACCATTTGCAAGTGATTGCAAAATATCTACAAAAAAAACTTTTGTAAAATACTAGAATGTTATGTTTAAATAATATAACAAAACAGTAAAATTATATGGGAATCAAATTCTAAGTTATTTAAACTAGGGGAAATAAATGAAATGAACTGTCAAGTTGGCAAAAAAATATGACTAATTATATTGAGGTTGCCCCCCCATTGGCACAGCGGTATGTGTGCAGACTTATACTGCTAGAAACTGGGTTTCAATACCCGTGGTGATCTGAGCACAGATAACCCTTTGTGCAGCTTTGTGCTTAATAAGATACAACAACAGTATATTGAGGTATAAAATACTGGCCCAGCCATTTCGCTATGATGTTTGTTTACTAACCCTTAAGAGTGATAAAATAGTCTCAAATATTGTTGATGTTTTTCACCTTTTTAAGTTTTGAAAATATCTACAGATTTTCTTCTTGTTACCAGAAAACAAAGTTGAATTGTTTTTTTTTCCCATGGTTTTAAAAGAAAGTATCCATGTGTTGAAAATTTGACATTCTACCATGAGTTTTTCGCCCTTCTTCTGTACTTTGTTCCCACTTTTATGCAGACCGATGGGACTGTAGTTTTTTAATAGACAGTCTGTCTGTCTGATCCTAAGTTGTTGTTTTGGTTAAGTATCTTTCAGGCCTGGTCAGAAACTTCTCTTTACCCCACTACATGCCCAATTGTTGGGGGGGGGGGGCTTTACAATGATAGGAATTGAGGTTTGTTTACTCTTAACTCAAGAATTAATCACATGACTTGTTGTCTCAAGATGTCAGGAAAAACCATTAATTTGAAGCCTGTTCCGAACCTCAAATCAGATTAGAAGCTTAAGAAGAGAGGATGAGCAGACAGAGTTGCAACAATATTGCACTTGAGATTGACGAACGGTGATTGTCATGTTCTGTGACTGTCATTGGTCATGTCTTGTAGTTTTTGTTGATAACAGTTGCTGAGAGGTTGAACCACGCACACTAGTTCCAATTGGTTCATTTTTATAAGATAATCAAATTGAAATGATTTATTCTTTACTTATTTATATCTTAAAGTTTCTACTTTTATTGATAGTAAAGATTGTTGCCCATTGTTGAGTAAACAGCCTTTTCAGGGAGGCAGAGATTTATAAATCAGATGCCCTAAACAAATTTTGATGTGGTGGTGGTGGGAAATGGAAGTATCCTGAGAAAACAGAATTTTCTACCCTACAAGTGCTGAAGGCTGTAAAAGAGATAAGGACATATGGTTAAACATTCTCATTCAAGGCATGTATTATGTTTAGAAGTGAGAGGTATCATTGCCAAGTTTCATGGGGGGGGGGTGTAGCTAGTGATGAAAATTGCTTTGTTAGTTTGGTACGGTTGATTGCTTTTTTTGAAGTATTTAATCACGATCGTTGTTATACGTTTTCTGGTGTTAGGTATTCCGGTGAGGTACATTTTGGGAGCCAAAATGCTATTCCAATTTCTTGGTTTTGTGCTCTTTGAATGTGACTGTACTGAATATGTGACATGTTGACTGTTACCATGTTAACATATTCTATTATAGGGCATATGAATGATTTGAACATAACCACTATTGTCTTTGGTTCGACCCATTTACTATTTCTCTTATCTTTCTTAGATAATAAATTCTTCTGTGGACTTTAGTTATTATGATTTTAAAGTGATCTAACTATGTTAGTTTATTATTGTATGTAAAGCATAGATATTCAGCTGTCCTTGAAAATTGTAGTTCTGTGTCATATTTTTATTTCAACTTTGGGGAGAGACTTACTTTTGCAAGTTATCTTTCTGTTGAACATTATTGCTTGAGTTTTGGTTGTGTTAAGCACAACTCGCCATGTGTTACACCAATCTATTATACTATTAAGCGAGGTTTGGACTTTAGATGCTGCAAGCTTATTAGTCTATAATTTTTTAAGATCTTTGTTGGTTGGGTTGGTTAATAGACAGTGAAGATCCTGTTAGTTTATAAACATAGTAATTTAATCTCCATTGTATTTTGGCAAGTTCTGAGTAGGCTTACTTTTTATGCATTTATACTCTCGGGTCTTTGTATCCATTCTTAATACCATGATTCTTGGTTTATGTATAGTTTTGAGTTTGCTTTTTAAACTTGGTGAATGTGATTGGTTCATGCCTTTGTCTTTTTTATTGTGATGTATGAGAAAAGTCAAAAGGTCTGTTATTTATTGGACCTCATTCTGTTGCCATATAGATGTTACGGCATGTACTCAAGATGACTTCAATATACATTCTGTTGTTTTTTTTACTAAATCCCCTCTCAGTTAGTTTTGTTGTATCTTGATTTCCCTACCGGATACTACAAATATGGTTTCTGCTTTTTAATTTACCATTCTAAAATTAAACAAGGATTTAATAAAGGTTTTAATTTTATTATTCTCTCTGTTGTTCCTTCCTATTTCAGTGGTTTTTGTATGACCATATTGACTTCTTATAGTCAAATTCATAATTCCATTTACATTTGAAAAGTTGATGGATTTACTTAGTTATAGAAACAAAAAACTTTATGATGATATTGTTACTTTAAAGTGAACTAGAAATATTTTAATTCTTTTATAAATCAGTTCAGTAGTATTTGTTTTGTAGTGTGATTTTTATCATTGTTTTTAAGACTACTGAATTATATTGTACAACTTTAACAAGCTTAAGTTTTAAGTTAAAAGTTTCAGTGTTTAAAGTATACTTTTTATTTTTAATCTGCAGCTCAATGGAAAACAATATTCAGTGTGTCAGTTCTGTAGTGTACCTGTTCTCACTGAAAATAATTCAGAAGAAAATCATGTAAAGAGCAAACATCCAGAAAGGTTACAGATATACAAAAGTAAGTTATATTGAGCTTTTAATATCTTGTGTATGATGTTTTTGGTAATGTTTTTATTCACTGTAAATCAAGTTAATTAGGCCCTCTAAGTTTCTTTCACTACACAGCATAATTTTGGTGATAAGAAAAACTAAATTCTAAACTTGTTTCTACTAAAAGACATGCAAGAATGTAACTGATTTGTTCTTTTGTGACAATAATATTTGGATTTTTAATTTTTTTTCAAGGTCATTATGAAGTTTTAAAATTGTACAAGTATCTATCATAATTCTGGTATAGTTCATTGAATATGTGTACTCTGAAATTATATGGATATTCAGAAGGACTTGTTCTGTATTTATCACACTAATAAATTATTTCTTTAAATTCATTATATATTTTTGATGCTCCCACTTTGCATGAAAATTACATTTTTTTTGTCCACATTTATTCTGTTTCTGAATGAAAGTAATGATCTTTTTGAGGTTTTAATAACTGCTACTTAATTCCAAGTTTTGAACCTTATATGAAACTTATCTGACAACACTTAGTGCAGTCTTATTTATTTTATGCTTAAAAACGTTGTTAAACTATTCAGCATAGTGTGTTAACCCTCATGCTACGGGCGTCCTTTTCTGTGCATGTCACGAGGTTTTCCTCAGTTACATTCAAAATTTAATTAAGCTACTTTATTATTGGGTATACAAATAAACTTGGCATGAAAATGTAGCTAATAATCCAAATTTGAATATTATATATGTTTTAAATTCTTAGTTTTATAATGCAATTTAAAAAAAAACTGCATTTCCCCTAGTGTGAGAATTGTGACCGTTCTCTCTAGGCATCCATTCTTCTCTAATTTATTTGCCACCCCTTCAGGAAGTGTGAAATTGAATGTAAAGTGCTCATTATAATTCAAGTAAAATATAATTTTTATAGCCTTCAATCTTATTTGGTTTCAGAGCCATAAAATAGAAAATCATATCCCTCTTGCCATGCCCATCTGTCACATCCTCTATTTCAGAAATTGTCAATAGTTCTTTCTGATGTTTAATACTATATTACTTAGAGCCAATAGAAAGCCAAAGTTCTAATATCAAATGACATGCCATGTTGTGTAGTTTTCTGTGTATAGAATTGTCTATTTCGCTTTGAGTTCAGTCTTTATCCCCACAGGAAATGCATTACTTAGCTTAACTGAATGTTTATCAGCTCTTGTTGCATAGTTAGAAAGCCGGAAAAACTGTGATAGCTAGAGGACTTTGTCTGCTTTTTGTGTGTTGTTATTCTGTTTTCTTTGGTGCATTATTTAATTAAAGAAAAAATTATTTAGTGCAGTAGTACCATTAGTATATAAAAATAGGGTTAAGTTTAATCGACGGTCGACCACAAAAAAAAAGAAGAAAAGAAGACCTGGGTAAGGACTATATTTCTTGTCTTTTATGTGTATTCTTTATTTATTAGTATAAAGTAACTAAAATGTACAAATTATAAACTTTTTAGGTTAGATTAAGTAAAATAAATAATAATAAAATTTTTCAGAAGGTATGCTCATGACCAACTAGCAATTAGCCTTTGTATCATGTAATTTGATGGGGTAATGTGAGTTGCACATTCGCCAAGTGATTTACAACTTCTTTGGCAGGAATATTAGTTAGACATGGTTCAAGGGGCAATAAAAGAATCAAATTTAAGTATAAATAGATGTATGTTGTTGAGTTTAAAGCTATTTAGGATAAATAAATCTAGTTTCATGTTACAATTGGAAGTCACTCTAGAAAGAAAATAGGGCAATTTAAATTTATTTTGAATTTTATTTTGGTGGTTATGAAGTTGTCCAAATTGAAAGTAACAGATAAGATATAAAGTTGTACTGAAAAGAAAACGTTTGAAATTTAATTAGGAGGTTTTAGAGATTACGCAAATGAAATTTGAGGTTTTTTATACAAAAAAAAGTAATTTTAATCTTAACATGAAAATCACTTTGCACTCAGAGCAGTCAATGCTTTGACACCATATATTCATGGAGGAAGTTTTAGTGAAAATACTTCATTAAAAATTCTCATGTTTTGTCTGCAAATGAATTAATATATACTGAGAGTTTGGAAAATGTTGTGAAGATACACAAAACATTTTAGAAGTTACAGTATGGAAACTCTGAAGGTCAATTGTTAGGTCGAATTGACTGAGCTCGTAGTGAAAAAGTTAAAGGATACTGTATCTATCTGAACCTTTGTTTGATATATATTTTGTTTGATGTATGTTCTTTGACATACTGCATATTTGCAAAGCCTTGTGCATCATGTATCATGTAATTGATTATTTTATTTCTTTGGTCTGAAATTGTCCCACTTCAAAAATGCAGAACATTTAAAAAATACTGCCCATTTACGTTTGATTCCTCATGTGGAATATGAAGAAAAAGTATCTTAACTAAGAAAGATAACTTTCTTGACCTTATGATTTGGGTGTTAAATAGATTGCAGCTGCATACTGTTACAGTTTTAAAAAATGTGTTTAGATTATTTAAAATTGGTTATCACTACATAGTTTATTTTTCTATTTTCAGCTTTCAGGAGAAAAGGATTCAGGAAAAAATCTACCTTATACAGTAGTTCAGAGGATGAAATGAATGTCAAGAAGCAGCAGCAGTGTAGAAAACAAGCTCAGAAAACTTTAAGAGACGAGAACAGACTTAATTCAATGGTTTCTTTTAGTGGTTTTGAAAAGCCTAGAAGGACTTACACAAGAGAAAACATAAAACCAAAACCAATATTATGTGATGAGGAATCTATTAATAGTACCTTGAACTCTACTATGTCAGAAACAAATTCTTCTAGTTATGAAAGTAATTGTGAGGATTTGTTTCTTTCTGCATTTAGTGCTTCTGAAGAACATACTGTAGAGAGGGGAAGAGAAAAAGAAAATGAATCATTACCTGCAGAAATATGCTCATCTAATGTTTCAAAATCATCAACATTATCTTTTCCAGAGACCAAACTTCAGTCTAGTCCATCAAAACTGAACGAATCTGGTCAAAGTACATCTGTGGAAGATGCACGCATAACCTTAATAGACTCTTCTGAAGAGTCTGACTCTTGTGCATCTGCTAGAACAGAGTCTCAAGTGAAAAGTGATTACATTTCTTGTGTTTCAAGTAGTGAATATGATAAAACATACGCCAGTCCAACATTATTAGAGAATGAAGATAAAATCGTTTTGTGCAATGCTTCTTCTTCTGAAAGCTCTTTGAACTTGGAACTTTGTAATACTAAAACAATTCACGAAGTTAATGCCTTAAATGAAAATGTTCCAGGTTCTGTACCTTCTACATTCGAAGAAAATGACAGAACTAGTACACAGAATGTAAACCAGAATGGATTATCTTTCTCAAAGAGTTGTCCAACGAATTTCACACCATGCAAAAATTTAAACCATATTGAAAGAAAACGATTGCTTGTGACACCAGTTCTTCAAGAAGAATTTGAACCATGTCAAAAGAAGATAAAATTAACACATGCTCTTAACATTAATGACTCTCATTTGAACTCTCCTAATAATTCTAATGACAGCGAAAAACCTAACTTCATGCACAGTTTAGAACTCTCTCCCTCCTCCAAACTGAATACTGACCATGTAATTGAATCTGAAGCAAAACATATTAGCATTAACCTGTTGGAAGCTAGACCTTTATCAGATGGTGCAGCAGAAATTGTATCATTTCAGAATATTTCACCAAATTACAGTGCAAAGTCTCAATTAGTTAAAAACAGTCCATCATTTACCACAAGCAGCTTAGAGAAAAACAGTCCAAGAGGTAAATACAAGTCTAAGGGTGTTTATACATCTACTCCAACTGTGTTATTCCTACGACCAGAGATAGATGAACTTCAAGTGAACAGTCCTGCTGAGAAGCCACCATCAGACAGTGTTTTGAAAGATAAAAACTTCTCAACTACTGTGTCTGAAAAAGACAACATAGAATTCTCCATTTCCCCCAAGAAAATAAGTTCTCATGATGTCAACCTTACCGAACATCAAGCCTCGAGGAAAAGAAATAGAAATATTTTTGAAACCTTAGGTATAAGAACACAGAGTAGTCAAGCTACTGTTAAAAAATCATTAAGCACAAAAAGCAGTCAATGTTCTTCTGTTGTGAATGGAACTCTGTCTCAAGAGAAAGAAGAACATGAAGCTCCATCACCAACTGAAGTTCCTCAAACTTGTTTCAAAATGGTTGGAGATGAAAAACATCTGACAGTGTCACGTAACTTAAAGCCTACACAAATATCAGACAATTCTCTCATAAATACTGACAATTCAATTGTCCTTAATGATGCAGATAAACCAGGAAGTAGCTTGCCTGATAATTGCAAAGATCCATGGTATCATAAAGCTTCTTCTCTTAACTCAGATGAGGATTTTGCTGATTCTTCTGGTCATTACACAGTACATAATTATTCCTTTATTGCAACTGAACAGACTGGGAAAGACAATGTTAATAACAATGAAAATCAATCTAGTATGTTAAAATCTTCAAGAAAAGACATGTTATTGGCAAATATATTAGAAATGAGTAGATTGAAAGACTCTTTGGGACGAAGAAAAGCAGTTCATCTATTTCAATGTAGAGAGAGCACTAGGATGAAAGGTAGTGGTAGAGATTTTACTAAAAAAAAGCTATCTGCAAAAGTGAGTAAAGCTAGAGAAGATATAGCAGTAGTTTCAGATATAAATTGCATAGAGCTGACCAAAGGAAGTGCAGAACCTAAGAGGATGTTCACCAGGATTCGAAGTTTCAGAAGACGTGGCAGGCCATGTGGAAGAAAATATTTTAGATCAGAAAGACTGGAACATAATAAAATTCCTCCTGAAGCATACTTTTCTTTAGAAAATACAAGTGCCTTTTGTCAAACTTCAAAAAATTTCAGAAGTAGAGGAAGGGGTAGGCCTAGAAAACTTCGGGAGGTTCCCAGGAGTTCAAAATCATTGAGTCAAGAAACCATGGTTGTAAGTGATTGTAATTCAGAAAAATCTAAAGAGATATATTCATCTATTGAACAAGAAAATGGAATGTTTGGAAGGTCACAGACATTTGAAAATGGAAAAGGGACAATAATATCAGATGACCTGTCAGTTGTAGAAGACTATCTAACTGATGGTCTGCAGATGACTACTACAACTTTAGTGAATAAAAACCTTATTAGAGGAACAGAGAGTGGTAGAAGAAGAAGAGGAAGGCCTAGAAAGACAACTGTGCATGTTATAGAAAAAGAAACAGTTATAGAGGAATCAGAAAAGGCACCAGTAAATTTTCACATTTCAGAAGGATCAAAAAGTTGTTCAGCTGATACATGTAATTCTCATGATACAGAAATAAATGACGCACTTTCAATGAACAAGGTATCTGCTACAGAAACAATTAGAGGTAAGAGAAAAAGAGGAAGGCCAAGAGCAGCTGCTTTGCATACTGTGGAAAGAGAATTAGCAACAGGTGATTCTGGAAGAAAGGCTGTAAGTTTCCAAACTTCAGAAGAATCCAACAATTATTCGGGTGATAGTTCTTTTTATGATGCAGAATTGCCTGATACTTTTGGAATTGACAAACTACCAGTTAGAGGAGGATATAGTGATAGAAGGAGTAGAGGAAGAAATAAAATAACATCTGTACAAGCTACAGAAGAGTCTAAAGAAAAGGTAATGTTTCTCAAAATTGCAAATCTTTCCATAAATCATTATTTTTTCTCGCTTAAATGTATTTTCTGTAGTCATGGTTAGAAATATAGGACTAAGACAACGTTAAGCTTAATGGAAGAATTATTTCTAACATATTAAATGTCCGTCCATTTTACATTGCATTATGAAGCTCTAAAATTAAGAACACTTAAGTTTATTCAAACAAATGGAGGTAACTTTAGTGTATAAGCAGCAAATTTATTTCTTTTTTAACATGAATATCGGTACATCACACAAATTCTCAAGAAGGACTACCTTAAAGCTTTACAAATAAACAGAGCATGAAGATACATTGATAAATTAGCTATATCAAATGTATCAACTTCCTTTGACGTAGCTAAACATATCTGTCTGACTGATCTAGTACTTAAAAAAAGTTCTAAGAATTTATGATTTAAACATTGGATTTATTAATCAAACATTTTCGTTCTATGTTCACAATAAAACAGGAAGTTTTAATTTTAAAGCTGTAGATTTCCCATTTCAAAGCAGAAACATTGCAAAGAAAATATGTTAACATTTGCCTATAAGAACTCATTAGATTTGCAATAACGTGTAATAAATTGAAAGATTTTATGTATATATATATATATATATATATATATATATAGAGAGAGAGAGAGAGAGAGAGAGCTACGTAATAACTAACAACATAACTCCTTTAGTAGAGTAATTACTTTACTTTTGAATAGTAATTAACTATTAACTTTAGTAATAGTTG